TTCCAGCCTGGAGCAGTATGTGGAGCGCATGAAGGAGAAGCAGGACAAGATCTACTTCATGGCTGGCACCAGCAAGAAGGAGGTAAGCGCACGAGTCGTTAAATGGGAGTGTTTTTGAAGAGCGAGTGGCGTGCTGAAATACGAACCGACGGTCTGACTTTTTTTTTTTTTCGTCTGCAGGCCGAGTCTTCTCCTTTTGTTGAGAAGTTGCTGAAGAAAGGCTATGAGGTGATTTACCTGACCGAGCCTGTGGATGAGTACTGCATTCAGGCGCTGCCAGAGTTCGATGGCAAACGCTTCCAGAACGTGGCTAAAGAGGGCGTCAAGTTTGAGGAGAGCGAAAAGGCTAAGGAGAGGAGGGAAGCTCAGGAGAAGGAGTTTGAGCCTCTGACCACTTGGCTGAAAGACGTGGCTCTGAAGGACAAGGTAGAGCCATGTTTGAAGAGATTATAAATTTATCTACTAACTTCTGTCTGAAATTATATTTAATGTTTGTTTTTTTCCTCTAATAGATCGAGAAGGCAGTCCTGTCTCAGAGGTTAACAGATTCTCCATGCGCTTTGGTAGCCAGTCAGTATGGTTGGTCAGGAAACATGGAGAGGATCATGAAGGCACAAGCTTACCAGACAGGCAAAGACATTTCCACAAAGTGAGTAGTAAACTCTGTGACCATCAGTACTGTCCACCTATTTCTACTTTAAGCTAATGTCGGTTCTCCTCTCTCCCTCAGTTATTATGCCAGCCAGAAGAAAACATTAGAAATCAATCCCAAACATCCTCTTATCAAGCAGATGCTCAGCAGAGTCAATGTGAGTTTACTTTGATCAGTTCTGAACCTAAGTTGAAGTAAGCATCAAGTTGACCTCCTTTTTTCTGGTGCTTTCAGGCTGATGCTGAGGACCAGACCGCATCAGATCTCGCTGTGGTTCTCTTTGAGACGGCCACGCTGCGCTCAGGATACCAGCTGGCAGACACAAAATCTTACGGAGACAGAATAGAGCGAATGCTCAGACTAAGCATGAATGTACCTCTGGATGAAAAGGTAAGTTGATGATGGATGACTTCGGACTGCACAGCAGTTTGGGTCAGGGATTGTTGAAATTACTGAGGGTGTTTGTTTATAATAATGTTACTGTCACAGGTTGAAGAAGAACCTGAAGAAGAGCCAGAGGAACCAGCTGAGGAAGACGATTCTGAAGATAAAGATGATGTTGTAGATGATGGTGATGATGGTGATGATGAAACGGTGAGACGTCTTAAACATGTTGTAGTTTAATGAATGCCAACCTGAATGCAGCAGGTTTGACCTGTTTTTTATTTTTATTTTATTTTTTTGTTTTACAGGCAAAGACAGAAGAAAAAGATGAACTGTGAAGCACTGAGGGGAGAACGTGTAACAGAGCAGGAGCTTGGACTTGTCCTGTTCAGTGACGCTGCGATTGATGTTGTCCTGGGAGTGTTTGGTTTTTATTTTTTTAAGGTGAACGCTTTTTGTTTTTTTTATTTTCTACATTCCCCATGACTGTAAATTTGTTAATATTTAACTGAACTGTTTATGAAAAGATGCGATTCTCTGATCAAATAAATGTTACCAAAAACACATTCTTGTCTGTGTTGTAAAAATGTATTTATCCAACAGAATGAAGGAAAATAAGCTGCTTTGTCTCAGATTTGTATTTTAAAGTTGTTGGAATGAGAAGCTGTGGATCTTTGATGACATACAGGATTTTTAAAGCTGCTTTTAGGTGTCAACGTATATCTCCATTTGAGTCTTGTGCAGAAGTGAAAATGTTCTGCAGTAATTTTCCATTGGTCATATTTGCTCGTGAGACAACCAGTGGGCTTCTCGAAATGTGTGCACACAAAATTTATTTTTAGTTTGTTGCATTAGCTGAATACAAGATTTTAGGTTCATACATAGTTTCACAAATGTAGTTTTTTTTAATAACATTGTGGCCAAATCAGCATTTATAAGAATGCTGATTTAGTTGTGTTAGAAAGCTTAAACTCCTCAGCTTATCTTGTCTGATCTTTTCACTGATAAACCATTCACTTAAATCTAATTGTTCAGCAAAGACGTCACTATTTAGTGTAAATTTATCTAGACATGAAAATGTTCAGCTCATTTTGGAGATGAGGGCTGGCTTTTTGTAATTGATGTTTTTCAAATGAACTTCAAATATTTCCACATACATAGAAATTCCTTAACACATCTGTGTACCTGCTTTATTTTTGTCTTTGTTTAGCTTAGCTGCTGCTCAACTACTAAAGATATTTGAGTCTCATCGCTTCTAGCTAGCCTTTTGCTACATTTAGCTTTTAGCTAGAATTTTGCTATTTTTACTGTTTAGATAAACTTTTTGCGAAGCATTTAGCTACCATGGTGCTACTTTAGGCCTTCGATTAGCATTTTTGCTTTTGATGTTATGTCAAGCTTAATTGTTTTTTTCAAGTTTCAGTAAAGTCATTTAGCACTCAATTTCTCATATCATCTTATATTTAATTCCCAATAAAAGAAGACATATCTTGCACACATTTTTACTACTTCCCTGTTCTGATTTAGAAAAAAAAAATGGAAAAGGTGAGAAGTGAAACTGAACACTTGCTTTGAGCTGTAATTGTGCGTTAGGCCTATATTTGACCAGGTTCTAAACTCTATACATTTTTTAATCAAATTCTTGGTCAATACTAAAATAAAACAAAGCTAGCATGGAAAAGCTAGTCTTTAAAAATAGCCTAAAAAGACTTTGCACTTATTAATCTTATTAATCTCTAATTTTTACTTCTTAGAAACTAATTATGTTGCCATTATCAATAAATTAGTTGCTTTAATACCAGAAAGCATTCTTCTGCACTTTGTAATTTAAAGCCAAGGCCACTAGGTGTCACTGTTGTTCACATGAATAAGAAACTACCGCGTATTCAAATGATCAGCAAACCATAAAAGCTGCTATGTTCATTGTTTGTAATATGACAGTATTTGGGTTTAAAATACACCGGTCAGCCAATAAAAAAGTGGCAATTTTTTAAAATTCTCTAATTTGTAAATGTGATTCCTACGGATTTTAATAGGAGCTGAACTTGCTCCACTCAGTTATTAAATATTATTTCCATTTAAAATTTCAGTTATGTTTTTAAGAGATTATGAAGATATTTGGGTATGTTTATGACAGTACCAATGCTTCAAATGTCAGAAATATGTACACACCATAAATGGGTTTCATGTGTAATATATTTTTAATCCAACTTTTTTTTCTTGAAATACTGTATATGTGCCATTTAAATAAGTTAATCAAGGTTTTTATGATGCCAATTTTCTATGACATCAAAAATCCACACTCATCATAAAATGTTTTCAAGTAAGACAATCGTCGTTAATGTCACAAGTGATGTTTTCTTCCAATTATAACTCATGATCATAGAGTTACTTTATATAAGTGAGTGTGTGTTTGAATAACTGTGAACAAAGTTTCATGAAACTCACAAAGACAAAAAATATGACTTAACTATTTGAGTCAACACAAATGAAAACAGCAAACACAAAAATGGCTCTAACACAATCCATTTTACAAGTATTAAACTAAAATTTGGTGTAGTTGTAGCTGAGACTGATCCCCAACACATACACTGAGCACTAAATGCCAATGCAGATATCTGTGTTTGAAACATTTGCCATTAGTTTTAGCAAACAACTTCGTCTAATTGTTAGCAAAAATAACTCCTGAACCACTTAACGGTTTTGAATTCATTCTTAAGTAAGTTATTATTGGCTGCACTGGAGCCAGTCCAAGATGGCCACCACAACTTATCATTTTTAGCTTACAGAAAAACTGGGTTTACTTCAGCTAATTGTCTGTATAGTGGTGGTATCTGAGAGTCATTCACATCAAGCACTCACAGATTGTGCAGAATCACACAAGATATTTACATTTCACCTGTAGAATGCTTCATTTCAGCTGATTCATAGGCAAGTCTATGCATTTCTTTGAGCTAAATCTGCTTTTTGATCTGGTTTTTGGTAGAATTTTTATTTCCAGTTGAACTATGAGGGAAGAAGTTCCAACTAACTGCGGGATCATTAAAGGTAAGATCTAAAATAATCAAATATTTTGAAAATTACATGGCTTGCGGTTCATGTGTAAGTAAGCAGAAGAAACATAAAATTCAAAAATAGCTTAGGGACAAAATAACAAGGAAAGTGGTAAATATTTTTCATTGGTAAATGCATAAGGCTAAATCAAAATCATGTTAAAAATGAATAAAGTTATAAAATTTTATTTTTACAAATAAAAACTTAAAATTGCACCAGACCATTTGTTTGTAAAAACTCCTACAGCACATTGATGCTCCTACATTTCACTTCATCCAGTGTTTTCTTTGTCATAACCCCCCCACCCCCAGAAAAAAACATCAGATAAACAGAAAAACCGCAGTCGCATCTGTCAAATTTAATAGTGATGTGGGTTTGTTTTTACCAAATAAACTCTGACCCCTAACCATAACGCTGCGCACGCAGAAAACTACTAAATGATGCTTTTGTTGTTGTTGTTGTTGTTGTTGCAGGGGTGCCAAACTGTTACATAACAATTTCTCTTGATATTTATTGAAAGAAATCTTATGCAAGTTTCTTTTAGAAATTCAAATAACATTTTCCACATTAAAAGATTTCATTTGGAAATGATGGAATAATGGTTTCATACAGCGAAGATATATGACCTAACAGATAAATAAAAAAGGTTACATTTATAAAGACGGATCATTATAATTCTTATCATATGCCTTACTCTCTATCAACAACTTTTTCATTATTTATTACGTTACGGACATCACAATCCAGAAAATCAGGTACACCCCCATGAAAAATCCTATTGTTTGACATTAAAAAAGAAGAGAACACAGAAAAAGGTAGCTAAAGTCGATTCTTTGTTGCTCGTTCCACACCAAAATCAAAAATGACTTAAAAATTCAAACTTAATTTTCTTGACTTGAAAGTTGGCCAGCTGTCATGGGAAGAATGCACTAAATACAGTGACAAAAAGAGAAACCATAAAAAAGTATTTCACATTTAAAGTTTGGGCCTGGATAAAATGGCCTGATTTGGCCCACGGGCCTGCAGTTTGACACGTGATTTTTGCTATTTCTCATTATAAGATGGTCTGAAACTTTGTCCTGAAAGATGGTGGGCGATATGTTTTCCTTTATGGAATGCTGTAGGTTTTTAATCTCCTGTATTTTAAGCAACACTCGTGCAGCTGGATCCAAATGAAACTGTGGCACAAAAGCAACACGACTCTGTGATCTCGTCTCCTTTCGGAGGGAAAAGCGCGTCTGAGTGAAGGATCGCGTCTGATTCCCATCATTTGTATTTTGACTGCAGTTTGTGCGCCGCCGTGGCTCATGTACGCAATCCCTGGATAGGTGGTTGCCATGGATTCCTGGGTCACATGCGTGGGTTTCCTACAGCCAGCAGCAGAAGCAGCAGCAGCAGCAGAAGAAGAAGAAGAAGAAGATGATGATGATGCTTGGACCAAAAATTCAGAGCCATTTTCATTCAAACGAGAAACATCTGTGGACGGAACAGTGACTGGGCTTGGCCAGCATTTAAATATATCCATTAAATCCGTTTTACTCCCTAATCCTTGAATCTTGAATTCGCAGCAAACCGGTTCGGTCCGCACACATCCATAGACTGAAACCAGGAATGAGTATAGAAATCCCTGAAGGACTGACGGAGCTGTTGCAGAGCTTTACCGTGGAAGTGTTGAGGAATCAGCCCAGGGACCTGCTCGAGTTCGCGTTGCAGTACTTCACCCAGCTGAAGGACAGCGACAGCAAAGAGGCCTCCTTCGGCAATGACGAGAACTCGGCCCCGAGATCAGGGAAAGCGGTCAATTTCCTGGACGAAGCCATGCAGATCGACTCAGAGAACGGAGAGGAGGAGGACGACGACGATGATGAGGAATTCACAGGTGGGCTGATGGTTTAGGTGTGTGTGTCGGGTGCTTAATGTACATAAATGTGTGTGACCTTAATGTTATTTGAAGCATGCATCGCAGCGTTCAGGATAAAATAAATAAAATAAAATAAAAACTCTCCATCTTGCATCCGAGCACCGCCGCGTCCCTGTCATTTACCATATATGGTCATGGAGGATGAAAGATGGGTCACAATGCGTCTGACAGCTCCCTTTTTTTTCTCCACGAGGAAACAAACAAAAAAAAAAGGCCAAACATCTGCAGAATCCTCGTGTTTCTTTGCTTTATCAAAGCTCCAGAATGAGTATTTCCTGTTTCAGCTGCAGGAGGAGGCCCCCTGATGGAGCTATATCTATCTGCTCATGTAAAACATGGCAACAACAGTCAATCCGTCACATTGCATGTATGTTTTCTTGGGTGGGATTGTGTTTCCCCCCACAACAGTTGGTGCAGAATTGCAAGCAGCAGCTGCATCCCAGCATCCCAATGAGTCTGTAAGAATGTCTGTGATGGTTACATAAGGCCAGGTGCACCACGTTTATTAATTAAATAGTCCCTTTTATAAAAAGGACCACTCTTCCATTGACCATGAATGAGACACAGTAATGTAGGCGACATCTTATCCTGAACCACTGTGCCTGTTTTCTGTGGAACATATTTATTTATTTTTTTCTTTCTCATTTAAATTATTCAAAGAACCCAAACCCACTTCACAGCAGCTGTCCTCATTCAGGTTTTTACCCCTAATGAATATGGATTCTTAAAGTGATAGTTCCGATCTTTTGAAGTGGGGCTCTGTGAGAAGGCTGTAAACAGTTAATATCTTACCTGTTGTGGGTCACTCTGAGAAGAAAGGGATTTTAATTCGGATCGGTTTGACACAAGACCAAAGTGGATTACTGCCATCTTAAAACAACTTTATTATCAACATTTCACCGTGTTTATAGAAAGTGGTAATTATACCTTTATGTCATCATCAATGTAGCATTTTTTACATTGAAATATTTAGTTTCTTGCGAGTGCAAACAGCAGCAGGTAGCTGTACCACCCTCGGTGCAGCTGGGCCACTGCTGGCAGGAATATTTTACTCTTTCAGTCAGATTAGCCACACAATTCAAATAATGCATTGATAATACATTTTACTGCTATGCTCAACCCTGTCATTTCACATTAAACAGTAATTCCTGCAGAAATATTAGGTTTAAGTTCAAGATAACTTTATTCTTTCAAAGGAGCAACATATGTAACACATATAAAACACATTTACATCTACATATTAACATTTAAAGGTTGGTAACAGATGGAAAGGTATATTTCTTCAATTAATGACTTTATCAAATTGTCGAGATTTCTGTGAAAAGGGCCTCGTGCTACAGCTAGCTGCTTCTAGCACTTAACCAGAGAAAATCTATGCAAACAACCGTATAATGTAAATTTGACAGCAATGTGCTCCGAGATGTCTGCTGGAGACAGGTGTCAACTCCTTTCTGAGCCTGCAAGAAAAGAGGATAAAGAAGAAGAGTGATGGATTGACAGCAATGTAAAAGTTTATGAGCTTCTGTGAAAATTTAGGGGTTAAATTGTTCTAAAATGTCATTTTAGCACTATTTTATGAACATTTGTTTCACTCAGTCACCATTAATTTTGTTTTTTGCAGTTATTTACGCAGAAATCTTGTTTGTGAATCCGAACAGTGGCGGAAGCAGCTAGCTGTAGCATATTCATGCAGGAATTTAATTTTTCTTCAATAGAATAAAAACAAAATGCAAAGGTTTTTTTTTCAAGAATGCTTTAAGATGCCAGTGATCCACTCTGATCCTGGCCTTGCTCAGACTGACAGAAATGAATAGATCATAACCTTTCCACAAAATTCCACTTGAAGTCATTCAAACAACTCCTCTAATTATTACCACAAGTACAATGAGTTTTAAAATATTTTCAAAAATTAAATGCCTAGTATTCCTTGAAGGAAGTCAAATCACTGGCCAGCTTTGATGCTAGAATGTATTTTTTTTGTGGGGGGGTATTAAGCTATATATCATGTTTTGTTGTTATTCTCTCATTAAAACATACCCAGAGTGTTGTTTTGACTCATTCATGCATGTTTGAGACATCCTTGATTCTCCTACACATTCTCAGTGGAGCTGCCTAAACACTTGCTGGTACAAAGCACCGCCTGTTTACACAAAGCTCCTCCTTGGAGCTCTGTTGTGAAGATGTGCTGAAGTGGGGGTGTTGGAAACGATAGGAGGTTCTTAAAGAGACAGAGGCAAATTTCAAGGCTATTAGATCAAATTTAAATTTATATATTTTCTTCAGATTTATTCGTGACATATGCACCATTTTTATAACAACTGAAGGTATCATACTTGGTTGTGGTATAGAATTGAAGTATGTGCCTGGAAAACACATAACACATCTCCCTGAAGTTCCATCAGTTTCAAAAGTTAATCAGTTCTGGGTAGACAGTCAGTGATTATTTGTTAGTAAATTTTATTCAAATGTCAAAAATGACATCAAAGAGGAACTGTTTATGAAGATGAAATACCTGGTCTTTGTTTATTGAAACAATATTATTTGAACTGACTTTTCTTCATCTCTCTGATAGTGACTCAAAATAATCTAAAGAAACATCAGATTCTTCTTGACAACAGTTGTAACTCATATTCAGTGTTTCCCCTTTGACGTCACTTCTTGTTAATTCACATATGAATATCTCAACAAGGGTCTATCTCAATGGCGTGGACTTTATTTTGCAATATGTTATTAATGTTATCTTTTCAAAAATGCATTCATATTTCTTACAAAAATATGTTATCGCAGGCACTTTGAGGTCAGTTTTTTTGGCAGCAATACTAAAGTCAGTCACTTGTAGATCCAACGGTTGCTTTTTACCGAAGTTCTTTAAAATTCTTTTAGTGGTTCAAAGACTCAAAGGTTTAAAAATCTTTATTGTCTGTCACAGGCTGTAACAGAAAAACGTCTGTGGTCTATGATAGAGGCCCAGATACATTAAAACACACAATAAAACACATCACACATAAAATCCCAACTCCTAAACACCACATAAATCATACAATCATAAAATAGATAAAAACCTACCTACTCATAAAATCATATACTACCTATAACCATTTGCAAACCTACAACTTTTTTCCTTTGTTTGAAAGTTTGATTGTTGTGGGGATAAAATAGTTTTTATACGTTTTTTTCTTCCCCTTGGCCAGAGGTAGAAGTTGAAATGACCAGTGAAGGGACCTTCACGCTTCATGAGATATTTTTCTAACAGACAAACAGACACACACACACGCAGAAACACTATTGTCTGCCTTTTCTTGTCAAAATGTAACATGTAGTCTTTGTGTTTTGCAGCTCCGGTGATAAACAGATTCATCAGAAGAGCATCCGGTGAGTTTCAATCTGCTGCTTGTTAACGCTGATTAGTAACAGCCTGATGAACCAAAGAGTCTGGACAGAATCACTGCTGGAAACAGTGACAACTTATCTCACACATGAACACTTGAGCTGCACAACCGGAGTGAAAATTTTCCATCTGTTTTTTGTCAATGTCTCCCCTTTATAATAATCATAATGATTGATTTATTAGAGCATATGAATCCAGTTTGTCGTGCACTCAGTTCATAATGTCAGCGAGTGACGTGGGTGGAGAAATCAGGACAAGAAGTGATACTTATAATTATCTCTTGCTAAGAATAGAGGTGACATTGTAGCTTTGGTGAAACAGGATCTCTGTATGAACTGTTGGCGACAGTTTTGCTGATATACAACAATAATAATTCTCTAAATTAGTTTTGTCATATTTTTCCTCTGTGTGACATAAATGTGAGTGAAACTGTACATAAGCTAATTCTTTGTTGTTTATTTTAAATATGGCTTATTGCTGGAGAAAGCTTTTTAACTACTTCTATGTTTTCTTTTTACTAAATTGTAGACATTTAGCACCCACTCAGACTTAAACACTACAAGTTTCTTTTAAATGTTTGAGATTTGTTTTTCATGAGTTTTGAAAGCATTCAGGCCTACCTAAAGGAATGTTAAACCATTTCTCTCTAACTTTATTAACTTCCAGGTAAAACCTTTTGTTGGAGCTTTTGTTTCTTTAAAGAGATATTTCAGATCTTTAAAGGTGGGCCTTTATAGGAAAGGTCTTAATATTTTACCTCTTGTAGACAGCTCTTAAGGTTAACTCCGTTTGGAAAAACAGAGTTTAGTTCTGACTGGTTTGACAAGCTAACGACTAGTTCATTTCATTTCATTGTGCTCTGTAAAATGTCAATAAAGGCATCATTAAGACCAAAGTGCACATCCAGCAGGAATATCATATTTCTGCAGGAAATTGAATGCTAAATTGACAACCGTGTAAAAAATATAAGACAGTTTGGATAAAGCACTATTAAAGTTTTAAGTTTGTAGTTGTTTCAAGGTTCCACTCTGACTAGCTTGTTGAATTCAGTCAGTGTAACTTTTTCTCCAAACTAAAGCTGTTCAAAGATTTATCTACAGATAAGATTTAATTATTCTTAACCTTTCCACAGAACCCCACTTTAAAAGATCTGAATTGTTAATGTAATAACTTTTAGAATTACTGTCTCTTTTGAAATGTCAGCTAAATGGTCCAAAAATTGCTGACTTTTGTGTAGCTGCTTATTTGGCTTTTGGTCTGTAAGACTAGTTATTAGACAGGCGTTATCAGACTGTTCTGCAGTGATGTCGTGTATAAAATGACTGGATATCAAGCGAGTTCTTTTAGACCATAATAAAGGGTAACTCCCTTTTGTGTTAACTTTAGGTTTAGTAAAACTACAGACCTATTCCATGCTCGCAACACCTGTGTAACAAACTGAAGTAAAGTCCACCTTTAAACTAAGAACATTTTTACACGTTGAAAGATTTCCTGGAAAATAGAACTCAGCACAAAAAGGCCATGGCTCCAACAAGGTTATCTGAATAAAAAGCCTTTTTTAAGGACATCTTATTGAGTGAAAAGCTGTGATAAAACCAACTTAAAATTATTTAAAACATAATTATCATTAAAAACGTCATAAACTGATAAAATACATCCATGAATTTAAACAATGTT